AGATGGCAATAAAAAATATTTTCAGAGAAAAGAAAAAATATTTTTCCATTGCAGACCCATAAGCCAACACTGTTCCAGTTAGTGGTTTCATTTCTCTACCAGGTGTCCTCAAACTACAACCCGCGGGCCACATGCGGCCTGCCGAGGACATTTATCCGGCCCGCAGCATGCCACAGCTGCCTGTTCTGGGATCGTCTCAGGCCCACAGTGCGCATGTGTGGAATGTGCTGCACTCTCCAATGGCCCTCCAACGGTCTGAGGGACAGTGAACTGGCCCCCTGTTTTAAAAGTTTGAGGACCCCTGCTAGGCACTTAGTAAGTTATGGAATTGGGAGAGAAGCCCCTGCTTTATTAAGTTAATCACTTTTTATATTTGCAGATATATATGTAAATATAATTTTATCTTTAAACTTTTTGTGAATAAATGGTATTAAAAAGCATTCATAAAGCATAAAAGGGTATATAATAAAAGGTTTTCTTCTAGTAGTAAGTTAGGGTACACTTAACAATAACTGAAAGAGTGGAATTGGAATGTTCCTAACACAAAGAAATGCTAAATGCCTGAAATGATAGATACCCCAATTAATACCTTAATTAGTTCACATTGTATGACTGTATAAAAACAGCACGTGTACTCTATAAATACGTACAACTATTATGTACTCATACTAATTAAAAAGAAAAAACGTTTCCTTTCTATATCTGCTCCACACACCTGGTTTCTCAATTCCCTTCCTGGAAGCAACATATATTACTAGTTTCTGATGATTTTATTCACAGTTATTTTATGAATATATGTGCACACCCATCCAAAGAAGCTATATTTATAGTCTTTTGTACATTTTACAAAAGTTGTCCTGATGGAATACTATAATTATCAGCTTTAATCATCAGGTTAATAGAATTCAAGTTGTTAGCACCATGGAGCAAGGTGGGGATAAAGGGAGAGATTGGAAGGAAGGTTTAGAAGTAGGAAAAGAGAGGAAGAAAGGAAAGTTTTGGTAAAGATATTTTGGGTATCTTTATAAATGAATAACACATTATAAATTTCATTATTTTAATGCTATTATAAAACTTTTATCTGTCAATATTTGGACACATAAACTATTTATTATTGATTACTAATGGAAACAACAGTAGTTTGCATGGATTTTTTAATATTCTTTTGAATGTGATATAATTATTTAGGTACATCTTTTTTGATCTCATATAATAGAGTGCAATGAAAACAGTTCCAAAAGAAAATCAGAATATTTTTTAAAAATCTCGTGGTATCTATTTGTGAGATAAGTATTTTTAGTGACATTATAAGTGAGTATAAACCCTGTTACAAGAGTTATTTGTATAGAAAATCTGGAAAGAGCTACACCAAAGTGTTACTAACAGTGACGTTTTGGTAGAGGGATGATAGGTGATTTTAAGTGTAAAGAGTACATTTAAATGTACAAGAGTACATTGATTTTTTTCTTATAATACAATGAATGTGAATTAATTTATAATCATAAAAATTTTGAACCTTTTCACATTTTGAAGGAAAAATGTAACCATAATGTGTTTTAAAACCAATTATACCCTGCTAACTCCAAAGAAATGAATCATTTTCTTGTAGCTACGGGAGGTTTGACTTTTCCTGATCAGGCCCTCAGATCGAGTGACTCTTAAGAAATCCAGTGAAATCAGCAGGTTGTGGGAAGGAATCCCTATGGATTGCAATTTAGAGCTCAGTTTGCAGTTAACCACTGATTAATATTCCAGGTCTCAAGGTTGCAAGTTTCTGTTATGTGCAGCTCTTTCCACCCTTACTTGGTTATACATAACTCTAAATATGATAGGCAGGAGAGGTGCGCCAATGTTTTCCTGAAGGTTTTGTCCATTTTGGAGGAGGTTTGTACTCACTTATAGCAAGATTAGTGAACATTCTTCAGGAAGTTTATTTAAGGAAACACTTAAGCATAAATATAACATTCAACCTTGAAATAATATTATTCCAGTGTTCCAAAGCCAAAATAAGGTTAATTTTGTTTATATAATTTTATCTTAAGTCCTGGCTCATGCAAGTGCCTGATGGTCTGCATACTAATTACATGTAAAATAGAAAAAGGTCCATCCCAATGCAAAGGGTTATAGTTCTTTAAACATTATTTTAATATTTGTGTGATTTTATGTTGAATTTAATTGTTGCATTACAAATGTTGGATAAAGCTAGCATAGATGCTTACGGCAATCTTAGATGTAATCCATAAATAGGATATACAAAAGTACATATCTCCAGTGTATTTGCCAAAGCACATAGATTCCATTTGGGAGTAGCATCAATAGTTCATCAGATCTCATTGGGAAGGTTGATAATTCGTTTCTATTTTCAGAGGTCACTAAGTTGATCTCCAAGGAAGGAAGACAGGATAATGGGGTCTCCCTCAGCTGCTGAAGGCAAGGCTAATACCTCCTACTGTGCCAATATTCCTATTACATTCTTCAGGATTCAATCATATATGTCCATATCAGTGATTGGCCCAACAACATTTAATTTATTTGGTTTCCTTTGAAAACTATTTTGCAGAAAGTCATCAAAAATGATGGTGTCTAATTCCCATTTAAGTCACTATCACCCTGATATTGAATCTTGAAAGCTGACAAGTTGATACAGAGAGAATTATTTCAATTTTGAGTTGTCAAAATATAGATATAAAAAAATCCTTCTAAAATGCTATTGTGAATTGAAACCAGGAGCATTTTTTAAAAATCTGGTAGTATTATATGCTGTACCGCTAGCACATAAAATTTATTTTGGGAATGCAAAACTTTTCAATATTATGAAGTATTTCATTATAGGAAATTACCAAGGAATTATGTGTAGCTATATGATTGTTTACTCTGAAAACACAAAGGTATCTACTGAAAAATAATTAGATATTAAAAAATTAATATTTAAACCTTGTCTAACTTTTCTATAGTCTATTTATTAGTAAGAAATATATTAGAAAAAAGATTACTTTACAATACTAAAAACAACTTTGCTAAGTTCAACAATGATCTATGGGATGCAAGTAAAGAATATATAAAAAGTTTAATGAGACATTAATAAAATACATGAACAAATGCAAATACATAACATGCCAAATCTTCCAAAGTTAATTAAAGTGCTATTTCAATTGTAATCACAGCGGGTTTGGGGGGAACCATGACAAAGAAATTCTATAATACATCTTAAACAATAAGCATAAGAAAATAGTCAAGGGCATTTGGAAAGGAAAAATAAAACAGTGACGAGAGGAGACTTTTAGTACCCAGATATTTATTTGTTGATATGAGTTGAGTCTACCATCATGATTCATCATAATTTGAATCTACCATCAGCCTCTGTCACAAACTCTGTGTTTCCTCCCTGGCTTTGGATGCCTCTTCTGGTGCTTACACCTCTCAGTTCCACTGGGAACCTTTTCTCCATGGTAAACAAGATGTCTTAAGCAGCCACCGTCATCAGTGAAGGTTTCCTTGGCTTTCTTTCCAAAATGGATACCTTGCTTCTCCAGGAGGACTTTGCTTCTTTCTCCCACAATCCTGTCCTCTGTGTGTGTGTGGTGGGGGGAAGTTGGGGAGAATAGAGGGGTGGCCAATGGTGGTGATACTCATCCTACCATGGTCCATGATCTCTAAATACCAGGTGCAGCTGTTTTTCTCTATTCAGAATGTCCTAGGGGCAGGAGAAAGAAGGTAGATGGAGGAGTAGTGCATCTTCCAGTGGAAGGATCCCAGGTTTGAGCTGAGGGATTCAGTAATGAGTGGGCCTGTGTAATGCAATGACGGGCAGGCATCTCTGCCATGCTTGTTTAATTATGAGGGCTAGCAGCCACCTGGGAAAGAACCCAAGCTGTGTCTTCTACTCAATTTGAGATACAATTTAGCCTTGCCTCTTAGAAGGTGAGATTCCCTGATTTCCATGGTAATCCAAGTAACTGTAAGTAAAAGCTGAAACAAATGTTTCACTAAACAATATAACTCACTGGATTCCAGGCTTTGGAAACCCTGAGACTGAGACTCTATACAAAGGAAGGGAGTAAGCCTCTGCACACGGAATCATGCTGATTTGGAAACCTGAGGGCGTGGGTCAGGCAGAGCAGTGGGAGAGTCTCCATGGTTTGTGCCTGGGGCAGCTGCAGTATCAGAGGTGGCCATTTGTATTGGGACAGCACTGAGCCTACAGGAGCAGGCTTGTCCCACAGCATATGTGAAGCCCCTGTTGGGGAGGACCTGTAACACCAGCACAGAGTTAGAGCTCCAGCATGAGCAGATGCGGAACAGAGTCAGGGTACACAGGGTAACGTGTATTGAGAGTGTCTGTGTCTCTCTTCCCCATTAATAGAGGCCAGAGACCTTAACGAACAGAGGTTAGTTAGCACAGGAGCTGGTGTATGTTGCACGCCCAGTAAGTTTTTGTTAGACTGACAAGTGTATTTTACCTTACCTTATATTATCGGATTCTTGCCTAGATTCAGACCACAAATTTCTTTGTGGGTAGCATACTTACACATTATGCGTTTTAGAACTTGATGGTAACATATGAATTAAAGGCTGAGTATAAGCAGAATTCAATACCAAGATAGAAGGAATAGAAATGTTCATACTGCAGATTAAAATGCAGCTTAAACCACTGGTTCCTAAAAATGTTAATGGTTTGATAAGGTGGTTCTAAATAAAGCTCAATCTTATATAAATCCAGTGACCATGAATGCTGACAGCCTAATACTTTTAATTGCATGGGACTAAAATCAAGAATGTAGGTATAAAACAGAGCTATGTAGCAAACTGCTAATAGAATCTCAAATGGAGAAGGGGGAAGTTTTTGTTTTTATTGTATATATTTATTTTTTAATTTTTATAGTTAGCAAGAATTTATGTAAGCCTTTTGTAATGAAAAAGCAGAAGACAAACAAAATGATTCTGTATTCTTGCAAAATTTAATGATTTTTTACATATAATACCCATCTTTCAATTTTCAGAGTTCTCTGCGTCAGGCAACACATGGAGTAATTCAGATATGGTCCCTACCCTCAAGGGGACTATATAAAGACACATGTCTAAGATACTTGAAGTAAGAACAAGAATGAAATGACTTCAAAGACATTGTCTGAGACCAGCTCCCCAAGGTCAGGCACCATGTTGTTTCCATGGTATGAATAGTTCCTTAGTACATTAAAAAGACTTAGTGCTAATTTATGGAGGGCATGATAATCTGTTCACACGGCTATTATTTCTTTGAACTTATTTGTAAAATTCAGTATCTCGCATTGCTGTCAAACTGCTATCTCTGAGTTTCAAAATATTACCTTATTTTACTTATTGGCTCTAAAGTGGAGAAAAAAGGAGTTAGCTATATTCTTAAGTCTTGGAAACATTATGCCAATGAAAGATGTTTGATACCTGTACAGTAAAGAGCAAATTGCTTTTTCCTTTGATCTCATGTGTGGAAATGTGCCCATTTGGGCTCTTCCCAAAATCACAGGACCATTTGGGGTTATTAAAATCCGACTAAAGTGTCAACTGGCATGTGGCTTTCAAAGAGAGCGACTAGCAATACAAATGTTGGTTATTTCCCTGGGGAATAATAATAATAATAATACTAGTAAATAACAAAAATGAACCATTAGAAAACATCAGTGAAAGATTTAGGCCTCTAAACAGAGACAAAAGGCCATAGATGTTTGTGTGTATCTCATCTGAGACAAATTCTAATGGTGTGACACTTTGAAATGCTTCTCTAAATTTGGGTGTAGATGACTTGACCATTGAAAAGGGGACATACCTACCTAAGGGGAAAGGAACTACTACATATGGTTAATGATACATATATGTATGATTTGGAAAATGTCTATATTATTTTAAATGCAAGTGTTAAATGATAATTTTTTTACTGCTTTAAATATGAAGTAACTCTACTTTTTTTTGTTTATTCTCTTTTTGCAAGTTTGCTGCATGAAATTACACTTAAAATTAGAAAGAGATAGTGAAGGACAATTGATCTCCATAAAATATGATAATCTGTTAGATCAGCATTGTTCCATAATTACAAGTCTTATAATAAAAATTATTTCCCTTATTATTGAACAGCAATGTTCAAACTTAGATTAAGTTACATCTAGAAATAGACTTTCCAGTGAAGATTAAAGTGCTTCAAAACAATTATATATTGTTAATATATTAACTATAGAAATTTAGAAAGGTATAATATAGGAGCTGAAATCAAGTGCTACAAATAGAAGCTATTATAGGCTAAGTAGGTGATTACATCTTTCTGTGACTCAGTGTAACAATTGAAATTCTGTGCTTTGGAGTATAGAAATGACTTTTACTTTGCTTTGGTTCCTAAAATTTTAAGATATCTCTTAGTTTATGGTTTGTAGATCTCTCCACATTTCTACATAATTAAAAACTTGGGCACATAGACATTTTAGAAGGCATAGAAATGGCCACAATTCAACTTGACTGATTTTGGCCAATGACTGTTGTAAGAGTTGCCAAACAAACAAAAAATTGTTGTAAATTACATACCAAAACTAATGTTGCAGCTTTTACTAAACATGTGTAACACTAAAAATTGATTTTACATGGCCATCAGAATGAGTGTATTACTATGTCACTAACTGCTGCATCTGAAATAACTGAATTTTCAAAAAGCAAGTACAAAGGGGAAGGCGTGGTGAATTGGAAAAGTGTCAGGCAGATTACAAGCAAATACCTTTCTTAAAACTGATCTTGACCTGAATAACCCCCAAGGAACTTCTGATGTGGTTCCAGATCCACAGAACAAAATAGAAAACAATTTTTGTGGGGCAAGTGTTCCCAAATCACCCCAGACTGGATTAGAGGGATGTTCCGGTTACCAACATGTTTCATGATCATGGTAGTGTCTGAAGATGAATGAGGGTAATGGCTTTCTACTGTCCTCAAGTAGTAGTTTACGATAAATCTATATTGCTGAAGTAGTTTTTACTGGATGGAGTCATTCTGCAATGGCATTCAATCCAAGATCTAGTCACCCCCAAACTGAAAAAGTAGCGTCACAATTCACAGAAGTGGAATAAAAATAAAGTGACAAACAATAGCTAGAAGCAAGTCCTTATAATTCATAATTCCCTTTCAGGGCATCATGCAATTTTGACAGATAATAGAGAATTCTTTCCTTTTACCCTCTATTCCCCAAATATTTAATTATGATCATATGTAATGAGCTATGCTTTGATTTAAGGGAGTCCAACTTCTGAATGGGTCAAAGATGCTGGGGATTAGGAGTAAGATGAAAATTTTATTTAGAAATGAGTTTTGTTTTGTTTTGTTTTGATGTTTCCAGATTTGCAATCAAAATATTGCCTGCCTCCTACCCTACTCTAATCCCCAACCCTTCTTACTCTGACAGCTGAGCCTCTGTAATGCCCGCTTCTAGATGAAGCTCAGCATTGGCTTTGGGAACAAATTCTGCTGTGAGGCATAGAGACTGATTATAAGGAGCTGCTGACTAGAAGTTTATCAGTTTAATATTAAACTGTTGGTTCTGTCTTGCACTTCCATACAGTTCTCCAGAGACTAACTCCCTTGTCTGAAATTCAGCTTCCTAAGTGACTGAATATTTATATTACTAATTTTTTTTTCATTTTTTAAAAATTTCAAAGTATTACAAGGGTACAAATATTTTTGGCTGCATGGATTACTTTTATAATGCTTGAGTCATGGTTATAAGTGTGCCCATCACCTGTATAGTGTTCACTATAACCATTGAGTAGGTTATCACCCATCTACTCCCCCTCCTCCCTCTTGCTGGATTTCCATTGAGCCTTACTTCCCTTTACGCACATGTGTGCTCATCAGTTAGTTCCATGTGGTGTTTGTTTTTCCATTCTTTATATATTTCCCTTAAGATAATGGCCTCTAGTTCCATCCAAATTGCTGCAAAAGGCATCGAGTCATTCTTCTTCATGGCTGAATAGTCTTTTTCCCACTTTTTAATGTGGTTGTTTGATTTCTTTTTCTTGATTTGTTTGAGTTCTTTGTAGATTCTGGTTATTAGCCCCTTATCAGATACATAGCTTGTCAATATTTTCTCCCATTCTGTAGGTTGTCTGTTTGCTTTGTTAATTGTTTCCTTAGCTATGCAGACACTTTTTAACTTAATGAAGTCCCATTTATTTATTTTTGTTGTTGCTGTGATTGCCATCAGGGTCTTGTTCATAAATTCTCTGTGTAGGCTGATATATGGAAGAGTTTTTTCAACATTTTCTTTTAGTGTTCTTATGGTTTCATGACTTACATTTTTAGTCTTTTATCCATCTTATTAATTAACTCATTCATTTTTTGAGTGGTGAGAGATATGGATACTGTTTCATTCTTCTGAATGTGGCTATCCAATTTTCCCAGCACCATTATGGAATATGGATTCTTTTCTCCAGTGTATATTGTGGTCTGCTTTGTCAAAGATTAATTGGCTGTATGTGGATGGTTTTATTTCTGATGTTTCTTTTCTGTTTCATTAGTTTATGTCTCTATTTTTGTGCCAATTGCATGCTATTTTGGTTACAATAGCCTAGTAGTATAGTTTGAAGTGTGGTAATGTGATGTCTCTAGATTTGTTTCTTTTGCTTAAGATTTCTTTAGCTATTCAGGCTCTTTTTTGGTTTCAAACGAAGTGTAGAATTATATTTTCTAGATTGCAGAATTATTTTTTTCTAGATATATGACATTGGTATTTTCATGGGGATTGCACTGAATCTGTAAATCACTTTGGATAGTATGTACATTTTAACAATGTTTAGTCTACCAATCCATGAGCAAGATATTTTTTTTGCCATTTGTTTGTATCATTTGCAATTTATTTCCTCAGTGTTTCATTGTCTCCTTTGTAAAGATATTTCACCTCCTTGGTTAAGTACATTCCTAGGTATTTTATTTTCTTTGTAGCTATTGTTAATGGTATTGAGTCTTTGATTTGACTCTCAGTTTGACTACTTTTAGTACATAGAATGCTACTTATTTATGTACATTGATTTTGTACCTTGAGATTTTGCTGAATTTATTTATCAATTGCAGGAGTCTCTTGGTGGAATCTTTGGGGTTTTCTAAATATAAGATGATATCATCATCAAAAAGCAATAGTTTGACTTCTTCTTTCCTGATTTAGATATCCTTAATTTCTTTCTCTGGCTAGGATTTCAGCACTATGTTGAATAGAATGTATCTTCTCAGATCACAATGCAATAAAATTAGAAATCAACACCAAGAGAAACATCCAGTTTTACACAAAGTCATGGAAATTAAACAACCTCCTGCTGAATGATTATTGGACCAATGATGAAATTAAGATGGAAATAAGAAGATTCCTCAAATTGACAAAGGGGACACAAGCTATGTTATCAAAATCTGTGGGATTCAGCAAGCAAAAGCAGTCCTAAGAGGAAAATTCATAACCTTAAATGCCTATAACAAAAAGACATAAAGATTACACATTAACAATCTAATGACACATCTCAAGGAACTAGAAAAGGAAGAACAAATCAAACGCAAAGCCAGCAGATGAAAAGAAATAACTAAGGTCAGAGAAGATCTAAATGAAATTAAAAATAAGAAAATAATACAGAAAATCAATGAAGCAAAATGTTGCTTCTTTGAAGAGATAAACAAAATCAATAGACTTCTTGCTAGATTGACCAGGAATAGAAGAGAAGGGACCCTAATAAGCTAAATGAGAAATGAAAAAGGAAATATTACAACTGATACCGCAGAAATACAAAATATCAATTGTAAATACCATGAAAAATATCTATGCACATAAACTCAAAAATGTAGAGGAAATGCACAAAAAAATTCCTGGAATCACAGAAACTCTCAAGAGTCAGTCAGGAAGAAATGGAATTCCTGAACAGACAAGTAATGAGCAAGAAGATTGAAGCAGCAATGAAAAATCTTTTAACAAAGAAAAGGCATGGACCAGATGTATTCACAGCTGATTTTTATCAGACCTACAAAAAAGAGTTGGTACTAATACTGCAGAAATTATTCCATAACATCAAGAAGGAGAGAATCCTCCCCAACTCATTCTATGTAGACAGTATCACTCTAATACCAAAGTCAGGAAAAGACACTACTGAAAAAGAAAACTACAGCTCAATTATTCCTTATGAATATAGATGCAGAAATCCTCAGTAGAATACTAGCAAAACAAATTCAACAGCACATCACAAAAACAATCCACCACAACCAAGTGGGCTTGATCCCAGGAATGCAAAGATGGTTCAACATATGTAAATGGATAAATGTGATCCACCGCATAAACAGAAGCAAAGATCATATGATCATCTCAATAGATGCAGAAAAAGCATTCGACAAAATTCAGTACCCCTTCATGATATAAACCCTCAACAAACTAGGCATAGATGGAACATATCTCAAAATTATAAAAGCCATATATAACAAACACATAGGCAACATCATAATGAATGGGGAAAAGCTGAAAGCATTCATTCTAAGAACTAGAACAAAACAAGGATGCCCACTATCACCACTTTTTTTTTTTTTTAAATAAGGTGTTGTTCTGTTGTCCATGCTAAAATGTAGTGTCATCATCGTATCTCACTACAACCTCAAACTCCTGGGCTCCTGTGATCCTCCTGCCTCAGCCTCCCCAGTAGCTGGGACTATAGGCATGTGTCACTATCCCCAGCTAATTTTTCTATTTTTTGTAGAGACAGGGTCTCGTTTTCACTCAGTTTGGTCTTGAACTCTTGGCCTCAAACAATCCTCTCACCCTGGCCTCCCAGAGTGCTAGGATTACAGGTGTGAGTCTCCATGCCTGGCCCATGTTACTAACTTTTTGATACTACTTGAATGATCTTCATTAGTCTGATTATAAGCTAAATTCCTATCCTGCTATATTTAGATATATATCTTGGATCTTGGAATCCACTGGACATTTACTCACAGGTATTGGTTTCCATCTTTCTCTCTTGTACTTAAAATTTTTATTTAAGATTAAGGCACCAAAATGCTACTTCTAAACAATTTGTGTGGACCAACATTTCCAACTGCTGACTTCACTGCAGGAATTTACTCAGCCTTTTTAAAGGAGCTCTTTCATCAGCCATTCAGTCTCTTGTCAGAAAAGCTCTCCAGTCTCCTGTGGGAGGCGGCATATGCCTGACTGCTGCATTCTAGGAGATCTGGGGAAAAGTTTAGGGGTGTCCCCTTCAGGTACCAACTTATGTTCATCTTTCTGTTTTCAGTCTGTAGATTAATTTGTTCTTTACTACACTTGTGTTTCTATTATATTCTAATTTCACCCCAGTATTTTACAGAAACTACGCTTAATATGGTCAGAAAGGACCTCCTTAATGCCAAAACCAAGAGTGTTTTGAAACCCTTATCTTAATAACTCTACCTATTACATTTGAGCAGGCTGATACTGTATCCATCTCTCCTTTTTACAAACTATTACTGTTTGGCTTTCCATGGCGGCACACTTTACTAGAGTTTTCTGCTCACTGTTTATGCTCTAAATTCAAATGATCTTATTTCTCCAAACTCTGCTTAAATATTGGTGTTTCTGGGAGTTTCTTCCTCAGCTCTTGTCACTCTGCTTGCTTTCTCTGGATGATCTATTTTCACAGTTTCAACTCCTAACCTATTTTCTGATGACTCCCAACTCTACCTCTAGTCTCTACCCATTTCTCAAGCTTCATACTTATATATCCAATGCCCCTTAGAGATTTCCACTTCAAACATAACATGCTCAAAACTGAATTTATCATCTTTTCCTAAGTTGGTGCCTTTTCGTTATTCTCTGTCTCAATCGTTAGTTCAGACAGATCTCTAATCAGTCACCCAAGTTATGAATCATCTTTTATTCTTCCTACTCCCCTATGTCACAGATAAGATCTATAGATATTATTATTTTTCAATGGTGCTTGTATTTGTCCATTTCTCTCTTATACTTCCTGGTTTGAATGGGCCTTTGCCATCACTCATCTGACTTCTGAAAAAGATCTCCTAACTTCTTTTCTTGACTTAGTCCTCTTCACATCTTTTCTCCACACTGTTATAAGTCTCAACTATTTGAAACAAAAACATGAGCATTTCACGCCTCTCTTTAAAACCTTCCAGTAGGTCTCCATCCTACAGGATCAAGTGTAAGCTGTTACTATGACCTGGCCCTCACCTACTATTTTCCAGTCCCCCTTCATAGTGGCTGTTCTACAGCATATAGAGTTGCTTGTGATTCTGAGAATATCAGGTTATTTCATAGCTACTTTGGTTCACACTATCTTATAGAGTTGGAATGTAGCTTTCCTTCTGTTGCTACTCTGTTACTCACTACTCATTTTCTAGCATCCTACCAATTCCATGACCTTTACTCGGACCTGTTCATCTTTCAAATTGGATATAGTTTTTCAAGGAGAGGTTCACTCAGTCCTCAGAGTGCCTCTTCTTGGTATTATCACAATATCCTGTTCATATCTCTAACGTACTGCCTAACATATTGTTTCATAATATAGGGTTTTAGGCCTGTCCCCGACTGCAAATGTCTGGAGGGCAGAGAAGAACTGGACTCACAAAATAAATGCTGGATAATTAAGTAAACGAATAAACAAGGTCAAGGCAACTGAAATGAAGTATAGGGGAAACACTTGCAAAAATATTTAGTATGTACATAGAACTTGGTCCCTGAATGGATGAGGGTTCTGAAGAAGCTGGAGAAGGATAAGCAGGAGTTGAAGATGGCTCTAGTCTGTAAATGGCAGTGCAATGGAGTGAATGAGGCAATACTAGGGGGAAAGAAAGTTTAAAGAAAATATTAATTCTTTCTTTAGGGATGTGTTCATTTTGAGATACTTATGAGAGTCTTGTAAGATGTTCTCCTAACTCATTTTACAGCAGTAGCACAATGCTTACCTAGAATACTTAAAAACATCCATTGAATTGAATAGTCATTATTAATTTGTTAAAAATAGCCATGCTGATAATTAAATTCTGGGTTCTTCTATATTAGCTAACTATGTTAACTATATTTAGATCATTTGGTCTTTTTTTCCCTAAAAGTCATTATTTATTTCAGTTTTTTAGGTAGATGAATTTAAAGGTTTTTAAAAATTTTATCGTGTTTAGATAGTAAACTTTTAAAATTTAACAGAGAAAGTGAAAAACTTTATTTCTAGGCCAGATAATTTTTGTTTGTTTAATTAAGATTAATTAATAATAAAGAGCATAATAGTAAGATTAATTTATATTGGGAGGCCATCTTTAACAAAGAACTGAAACTCCCTTCTTTTCTTCTTTCCATGGTGCCAGAATCAAAGAAAACCTGCTGGTATTAGTGCTGGCAGTGCTGACAGATGGTTTTTGTTGAATGAATCAGAAGCTGCAGCTACATTTGCCAGAAAAGGGAAGTATTATATAAGGTCTGTACAACCCACTGAAGTAATTAATAATCACATAACAATTGGTTGTGGATTTGCCCTTTCTTCAGCCAGGTTTGGGCTGATAATATTATCTTATCCTTTCCAGGTCTTAGCTTGTTCACAGGAGAGGTTTGCCACATAACTAAAGGCATGATCCAAAACCTCCCTTGGGCGAGAGCTACCTGGATCCTGTTTGTTGTCCTGTGTGAATATTGGGAAAATAAAATTCCATTTTCTCCAATGAAAAGAAACACCTGCCTTTCTAATCAGCAGGAACATTTTAGTCAGGATTGATGCACACCAGTTGGGAAATTGTTTATAGATTCGTGTTGGCAACATGTTCTCTTTCGATGCCTTGACAGATGAAAGAGGCACCTCAAGACCTTTAATCTCACCTATGGCAGTAAGTGCTCACTGAAGCAGGTTTGTTATGTCTATAATAGGATTCTGACCACAAACCAAAGAAGAAACATCCAGATCTTACGTTAATGCTTAAACCAGTCCTTCTCAGGTATCCTTGAATCTGTTGTGGGAATAGTTTTGTAGAACATCAGAAGATACAAGACCCCCAAGCCAGAATTCTTATGGTTCCAATACAATTATTTCCAATTCTTGCTCTTATTTTATGGTACACTTTCTTTGCCAGACTCATAAGATGAACGCAGAGAAAAAAAAATGGTTATCAACAGAATTTCTTCCCCTTAATATATTTTGCATGAGACCAATAGTCAACATTTTCCTGGCTTGTTACATTCATCATCAAACCATCCTTTATAAGGAGTTTTAGATTTTTTTTATTGTTAGTAATAAGCTAACAGTGATTTAAAATGTTGGGCGATGGTTTGGGGAGATTATAAAATGTCAATGTCAGCTCTAGAGACTTCCTGAGGTACAAGTGGTACAAATTGTTTAATAGAGTTAGGCAACACTTATGCCGAAGCAATGAATGAGTTTAGAGATTTTATCATGAAGGGAGTCAGTTGAGAAAGATGATTTTATCAGTTCTGTGTTGTAACTAGAAAGGCAAATGCTCCCAGTGGCGTATTTCAGCTCAAACATGCAAACTTCAAAATAGATAACACTACGCTGAAATCAATTGAGATAATTTGGGGGAGACCTTATGGTCTGCCATCAAGACAGCATGCATTTGAAACAGAGTTAAGGAAAAGCAATTTGTACATGATAATTACTCACAAAAAATACAAAATCAAATAAATGAAACAGTTTTATCTGACATGCTTGAATCATTATTATGCAAATTAAGAATAGTTTTTATTAGTGATAATTAAGTGCCACTATTCTAGTTCTGATAGTTCAAAGAGCCTTTTTTTGTGGTTTTCAAATTCCATGACTATTAGTGTAAACTGGTTGATATTGTGACAGGAGATACATGCAATGCAATCATGTGGGAAGGGCATCTTCTGCTTTTAATTGGAGCCATGCTGGAAATCACTGAAGGGCATTTCCTTTTTTAGGCTTTAGGAGCATTAAAGCTAAAAAAGAAAAGCAGACTCTGCCCCCAAAATACTAATGGAACACACATTCTATAAACATAAATAAATAAATAGATCTTTTCTAAAAGATACTCAAAAAACCAATCTGTATGTTATCTTTCAAAGTCCCCATTTTCTGTGGATTTGGCAATCACTGGCTTACTTTTGTGGCCAACTGTGATCCTGACCTGGCTAAGCTGCAAGCTCCTTGTTTTCTCTTCACAGCTACTGCTCCTGTGTTTGTAAGTATTGCCTCTTTGCAAATAGGATACGGACTCTAAGGGTAGTATATTTTCTTGTAGAAGAAATTAGCAGACACACAGTATCCTATAGCTTAAAATATGTTACACAGCAACATGGCCAAGCTTCAAGCTGCTAGATCAAAACTTAAAATGTCATGTTCTCTACTGTGGCTGCAGGCTCTCACGTCTCTGAGATGCAGTTCTACTGGTCATATAAAAGGATGATGTGAATCCATCAGGAAATCATGTGGTGTCAATAACATTTTTGGTATTTATAAGAATCTGGGAACCATAAGGGATTCTGATAATCAGCAAAGGACTTAAAAACAAAATCTGAAGGAAACTTTAGTTGTGACCTCACTTGTCAACCTATCATCCTGGTTTTCAGAAGGAGCCAAGCAAGAAAGAACGAGAGAATAGGTATCTGACAGGAAGATAGAATGAGATGCTCTCCATCTCAATTTTAGCTGAAGCTCCTGCGACCTAGAGCAGAACAACAGTTAGCCAAGAAACCTCATATTCTAAGCAATGTCTGGACAAAATCCAGTTTTGCAAACCATTATCTCACCAAAAGATTTGTGTGACAAATAAGAAGCAAGAGACAGAATTTCTGTGTGTTTTCCAAATGCTTTGTGGTCTTCTTCCCCTTTGGGGTGTTGCTTCATTCTTGCCTTAAATCAAGTGAGAGGGGCCTTCAAGAAATCAGCGTGAAGGGCTGAACACATGTCTATTGGAGCATTAGAACTGGCTATGGATTAGGTTTAAGGTGGCAGACAGAGTAGGCTTCATTAGGAATTAACTGCATTTTCAGCAGCAGCAGAGCAAGGATGCAGAGTATTTCTGTAGACCAAATGTGAGCAACTAAGTGCTATTCTGAAAATTTTCCAAGAGGATGCCTGGAGGAGCAACATGACCCCCAACAGAGTGATGGACAGTTGGATACCAGGGGGCCAAAGAAGGAATCCAGTATTGCCTCTATTAAAGAAGTTGTGCCCTGAAAGTTCCAGGTGGGGGAGTGGGCTTCAAGGAAGTTCATGGAAGCACTCTTGAAAAAGAAAGAAGTAGCATGCTATACTCCAAGAGCACATCTCCGGCTTATGCCTGTACCAGTTGAGTAAGACCTTTCTTATCCTTAACATTTCCTCTCCACTCTCATCCAATGCAGAAAGAGGTAGAAGAAGAATATTAGAGCAAGATGAGGAAATAGCAAAGAAGTCTCCTTCATTGGGCTTTTGAGACTCAGCAGGCATGAGCTGGCAGAGGGGATTGACTTATATGATTATGACTCAGAACTAGGCAATCTTAGTACTCAAGTGATATTCCTATGCCTGAAAGTGACTGCAGACCTTTTGTTAACTGGAAGTGGCATTAAAGTTATGGGAATTATCCAAGATTTTATTCAGTGGTAGGGAGGAAATAATCCACAGAGGGGGAGTTTAAAAGGACAGGAGGAAAAAGAATAAAATTGGTTTTAGCTATCACCTTATCAGCTAAGCCTATTTAATTACTGGTTACAAATAAAATCATTTTCACCCCTGGGGAGAAGAAAACAAAACAAAACTACTTAAAGCACAGGCCCTCCTTTATGTATTGAATGAGCTGATAGAGGAAGAGCATTTATCAGTTTAGCACATTAGATAGGCTTGATTTTTACAAGCTACCTCCACTGAAGATTTTTGCCACCTTCGTTGGAAGCAATTTCTGATGGGAAGGCTTGAAGTCTATCAGCAAAGGCAAGCGCTTTCCAGGTTTCCATCATCCTGCATGCATTGACTGATGGTCCTAGTTTTGAAGTATCTAAACAAACATTAATTTTTTAGCACCTCATTTCATAGAACCAAAGTTGTGAGGACTACATGCCTTGGCTGAGTGATGATGAATACATCAGTTAATCTCCTCCTGACATTGTGTTTTTCATGTAAAATAAGACTGACAATGCAATTAAAGATATAACAAAAAAATTTTAAAAATTGAAAGCTATGAAAATCAGATAGCCAACGTAAATACCTCATGGAAATGACATGCACACTTCCCCTGCAGAAACTCTTTGTGTCGTCCCAGTGTTATAGCGAACGTGTCTACTACTTCATAGCCATACTTTTTTGCAGTATCCAGAATAATCAAATTTTCTTTCCATAAATTCTGTACTTCACTCTGTATTGCAAAGCAGAAGAATGAGGATTGCTTTATGATTTGATAACTCAGGTACAAATCAAGTAAATGTTCTGTTTTTCACAGGGATTGGTCATATTGTAAGATAAAGATTCTCACATGCATTTCTTAAGATGTGTTCTAACTTTTTAAAATCAAAACATAAATGTAACCATTTATGCATATATAAAACAGCAATACATAAATATCTATAGTGGCACATAGTTTTGAATTCCCTTCCATAAAATAGTTACATTTATTGCCCACAAAGACCCATCAAAATATCTAAAATTCTCAATTTAAAAACATTTGGGAATCATCAATGCTACCTCCTATTTGGATTCTCAGCCATTTAGTGACTTGAGTATTAATTAGCATCTGCTTTTACTTAGCTCGTGCTGAGGGACAAGAATACAAAGATAAATAAATCATGGTCCCTGATCTTAGGACACAGTATTCTAATAGGAGAAACAGATACATAAACATTTAATGAGTCCTTCTTTGGAGTAAATATACCAGTCTCTGGCTAGTACTAGACACAGAAGTAGCTCTTCCCGAGGCTTCAAGATGGGCTTCCTGATAGCCTTGAGTGAGGTTTGTTAGTTGGAGGAGGGAGAGGAAAAAGAGAAGGGGAGTGCTTTGGGAAGCAGCGGAATTGAGTGAAGGTCCCAGTTGCTGCTACTTTGGATCCCATTCCTCCCTCCCTCCCCAACCATGTCCCAGGAGTTTTAGTTAAATCTACTCTGTCATGGGGAGGGACAACTCCACTAACTACTCTAGCTCCAGGACTCTTAGCGTGGCCAAGACTTTCTCAGAACTGACCTGCAATCCAAGACTTTTTCTACCCAATCCATCCTTCTTCCTCTCCATTCATATCAGACACATTGCAGCCAAACACAGTTCCCAGGACATAGTAGGCACTCAAAAGACATTTGGCACAAGATAGAGTGATACATGTTGGGTGCTGTGGTCTGAACCTTTTCCTATCTGCTCCTGCACTCTTCCCTTTATCCTTCCCAGGTAGTCTTCCTAATAAATCCCCCCATTTGGCTAATCCTACCTTGGTGTCTGTTTCTTGAGAACAAAAACTGACACAGGAGGGAATCACAGTCCCCCTTCCCTTTCTAAAGGGCAAAAAGACTTTTTAAGTTTTCAGGTAAAAAAAAAAAAAAAGCAAATAATTACTTGAAATTGTTAAGCCAACTGCCAGATAAAGAAGTAGCACAAATATGTCCAATTTTCTGTTTTCTTCACTGTGCTTGCAAGACTATTTTTGTGTGACATTCAAAGAAGAATGTTTTCTTGAAAATAAGGGCAATGAATAGAAAAGGCTGATAAAAAATCTGGAGGAAAAGAGACATATGCAAATTTGCTGTGCGCCTCAAAGAGTGTATAAAAGTGATGCTCAGTATTGTTTGTAGGTTTTTCTTGTCCAGTTATGAGCATTTTCTCAATTTTAATGTGTCTAATTATGGAAGGCACTTGGAACTTTAAAAGTAAGCAGTTTCCAGAAAAGTTTTCTAGAGAAAGGTTATTTCTGTGGGAAACAGACTCATAAATAGAAATTTGCATGCAGGAGGCTAATAGGACAGTGTTCTTGGGATCAACACCTATGGGGGCAAGGGGAGAAGGATTGGGCAGAGGGAGAAGCTGAACTGTAATGCCCTTGAACAGAGGCTTTCACTGGTCCCACTGGGAGTTCTAGTGCGGGGATGGCCCACAGTCAGCAAAGTGGGCTGAGTCTTGGAACTTCTGCATGGGCAAGTTACATCTCTGCATCAAAAGACAATTCCTGGTGGGAATCATGTGAGTCACCAATAGGACAGGGGAATGAATGTCCCCTGGAAGGGGCAATCTGGGAACACCCAAATCATAAAAATTATCACTCACTCATATGTGCACCAGATATGTTTTGAGGGTCTACTGTATGCTGAGAACTGTGTTTGGCACAACTATTCTAGTGTGCCAAGAAAGTTTTCTCAGAGGAAATAGCATTTAAGCTAACACTTGAAGCATGTGGAAAGTGGGCTCTAAGAAGAGGGAACAGTGATTTCAAAAGCTTGGAGGTGACTGAGAGCATGTTGTGCTTGAGAAGTTGAAACACACTCAGCCTGACTGAGCTGGGTAGTGGCAAGTGTGTGTTTGTTTGCATGCACATGCGTATATGTGTGCATGCGTACATGTGTGCATATGTGCTGGTACCAAGGGATAAGCCTACAGAGCAAGGAATAGGCCAGTCTTGAATGATGAGGAATTCAGATTTGTTTCCTGCCTTCACTTGCTCTTATCTCTTTCTCTTTCTTTCTGTTCTTTTGCCCCTCCTCTTTTTTTCTCCTTCTGCCCTCATTCAGTTTGAAAAGACTGATAAAGCACCACCAAACCCATGTTGCAGGCATCATATTTAACACAGTGTCTGGCACATAGTAAGCGCTGAAGAAGCATTTGCTGAGATGAACATAAGCAGGGCCCACAGTACTCCAGTTGCTGTGAGAAGCTGCAATCAAAGAGGCCCAGTAGAGCAACCAGAGTCCTTAAGAAGGAACAGCAGTCTTGACCTGTGGCCTTCAAATAACATTAGAGGGATCCAACTCTGAACCTGTAGCAAAAATTGTCAAAAGTTCCCTCTCCTGATCCTAAATTGTCTTAAACCCTTCAGCTCCCCCAGATGTTAAATGGCTCAACTCATTCTAAATTACCTTAACCCCTCTTTCCCCAAAGTTGATAAATCTGGAGGCTTTGTTTTGGTCATTTGCTACCAGTTCTCCTATTTTTTGCATCACAGAAGATCCGGTAGGTGTCCAGGCAGATAAAGTTCTGAAAAAGGCGGGGGAAGAGTTTCGTGTTCTGTGCTGGGGAAAGCTAGGAGCATGCAACACAGACACAAAAATATATCTCAACCTCCTTACATATTAAATGGAAAGCTTCCTCTCTCCCAATGCCCGGTGCCACCCTGAGCCGTGACTCTGCAATTACACACCAACTCCCGGCTGCTCTCAAACTCTCCTCACTTCAGCAACAACAGCAGCTGGTTCTCTTCCCTACAGATGTTGTCTTTCTTTTCTTTTCCAAGATTCCTATTCACTCCTAAGGCTAATATACTATCTTCTGTAAGAACTGGTCAGAGGCCCCATACTTCTTTCATTTATGAATATCCTACCAGAGGAAAAAAAACAGTGATACTACTTCAAAGATGATTTTTTTAAAGCAATCAGTCAGAAACCCATCTTCAAAAAGACCACTCTTTCCCAAAGGACTCATTGATAATGACAATTTCATTCGTGGTTTCAGCATGAACCTGAAGAAAGGAAAGCCTTTCTATATAGCCTTTGAAGGTGTGTGCAACATTGGTGGGGGGAGGGAGACTGAAAGCACAATCTCCCCCATAGTCTCCTCTGTTCTACATTTTTGCACAGTTTGGCACCCCCTTTTCTCCTTTCATGAACTCAATGCATTATTTACAACACATTGCGGGCTATGGTCTTCTTGTCTCCAGAAATAATTATAATTTATTTGGAATCATAATCCTTAAGTATGTCATCTCCTTTGATTTTTGTAAAGGTTGGTTAATATTATATAGTGCCTTTTGGGTCTTTTTCCAGCAGGGATCCTTATAGGAAACATGAAGTTCACATAGCCCAGAGGAAATGGGTTTACCTGTGTTAGGAAATGCACTCCATCCACTGGCAGATGAAATCCAATTCCCAAAGTTTTGATGATCACTAGGATATTGAGTAAATTTTCCCTAAATGAAATAATCAGAATTCTAAAGTCATTAATCTCAATTACATTTCTAGATGTTTCTCGTTTATGTAAACAAATATGGTGGAATTTTTTTAGAATGTGATAATTGGCATATAAGACTAAGTTCCCATTTTATAGATTTGATGTATATTAGTTTTCTTTTTCTTTGGATAGAGTTTTATGTGTCACTGGACATGTTTTGATCTGTGGCAAATGTAAATTTGGATACTAAAGAGCCACATTGTGATTAGATACTAAAATATTTTGGAATATTTTAAACTAGACTTTAAGTACTTAACTCTGAATTATAAGTTGTTCTTTAAATAAAATCTGGATAAAACTCAGTCACATCACTATTAACTTTTTGTGACTTAAAATACAAATGACATTTATTGTTGCAAAAATTTACCTCTTCAAAACCTTGTGAATAATTTGCAGGTGATTGGAATTAAGCCACTGAACACCACCAACAACCAATACAGTCTGGCCAGTATTCTCTAGGGGGCGTGATCTGAAATCCAGGAAGAAAAACAACACATGTTGCCTTAAAACAGATGGTAAACATTGTGACTGCATTGTCTCACATTTCACTGAACCATGTCTGGAATCCTGATCACAGGACCTTCTTATCATTTCCAACTCATTTTCAGCCACATTACTTGGTATGTAAAGCTTTTCAGCATGTTTGCTACACAGTGAGCAATTATGACCTCCAGTAAAACATCAGTACATTGTGGCATTGTGTTGTTCATAATTGTTCCATTGTACCTTTGTAAGAGATGTTCAAGGGCTTCTTCAAATGTTGGTCTCAATGAAGGGCTTATCCAGAACTGGGGATAGTAGGAGTAACTGATAACAGTCTTCCCACCATTGACGTTGTGATAGAATTTAGTGCCATGCACCTTCTGCCATTCCTGCAACGTTTCATTTAGTCTTTCGATCAGATAGTACATGATCCCTCTGTTGGTTGAATCTCCAATGAAAAGAATCTATAAATTAAAGAGAAAAATATTTGTTTCCAAATCTAATGTTTGCATGGTACAGGAGATAGTTTAAAAATAACTAATTTTGTGACTATTCATAACTACTTAATTGTTTGAAGCACAGCCTTTCAAACTGTTAGAAATAACATTGATCATATTCTCCCCCAAACCTGTTTATTTTCCTTTTAAATAATTCCTAATAATTCCCAGTCCACTGATCTATTGTCATGTTTACAGCTTTTTCCTTTATATTATATTAAATTTCTCTATCTCCCTTTATCTTTTTACTTTCTCATCTAATCAGCTTAATAAGTCTTATTGATTCAAATGGGCATGAGGTATTTTATAGTGCTCTAGGAATACTTAGAAATTTTCCAATCTCTTCATTTTATAGATCTGAAAACTAAAAATCCACAGAGGTAGTTCAATAGAGGTCATGTCTACTTGAGAAGAGGTCATGTCTACTTGAGAAAAGAGCCACAAGACCAGAATCTAATTTTCAGAATCTAACAGCAGTCAATGTCCCAGGGTGCATATCCCAGTGTCACTTGCTTTCCAATGAAGTCTCTCACCCCATCACCTCCTTCCCATTTCCACTAGCACAGCCCTGCTTCAGGCTCTCGCTGCCTCCACCCTGCACTTTCGTAACCCTGTCCTGCTGGGTCTTCCTTGAACAATGGCTGCATTCTCATTCATGCTGCACACGACATTGCTGGGATAAATTTCCAGGTGTCCAGTTCTGATCATTTTATTTGCATGCTTAAAAACTATTAGCTCCTTGTTTCCTACAGAATCACATCTAAAACTACTTAGGTTCGGCTAACATTTATTAGCTGAATTTTTATTGCCTATCAGGCTTGGCTATATGGAGATTTCATACAGAATATTCACTTTTAATCCTCACTAGGCTCCTTCTCACAGATAATAACTTTGAAGCTCAGGAATATCGAGAGCATAAATCTAGTAAATGGTGAACCCAGGATTCAAACCCAGTCCTCTGACTCCAAGTGCAGGTCAATGGCTCCATCCTCTCAGTGCTTCCCTTCATATGAGCATGTCAGACTCTTACTTTTTCACTGAACATGATTTGCACCCAACATCTGTTTTTCCTTGTGTTAATCCATCTGCCTTGAAAGTTCCTCCCACCACAGCCCCACTTGTCAACCTCCAGACCTGATGTGAATGCCGCCTCTACAAATAGGTCTCACCCTGCGCCCTAGCCAGAATTATTTAACACTTTCTCTGTCCTCTGTGATTTCATTAGATTTTTACTTCCATTACAGATTTTACCAAAGTCTACATGAAATTATGGCTATTTGTATCTGTGGTTTTTTTTCTCATATCCTATGGAGAAGTATTTGAGGTCAAGGTCAATTTCTAATTTTAATTTTCCCCATAGTATTTAATGCTATGCATGCACTTTAAAAATATTTAGTGAATTAAAACTCAAAGGGACTCTTGTCACAGACAATCCCTTTTTATGTTTTTGGATAAGATTTAATTCATTCTTTCTCTCTCTCTCTCTCTCTCTCTCTCTGTCTCTTTTTCTTCTGAGATTTCTCTTTCCATTAGTCATACACATATTTTCTTCTGATTTTAACAACTAGCATTGCCATCATTTCTCAGATACTTTTATATTTGCTCATATATAGTGAATTTAGTAAAACTCTGCAAAAGTTTACTCTTTCCACAGTAAGATATATGAAGGAATCCAGAAAGCTTCTGCAATTTGCCTTTAGATCAAAAACTGTTACCATCAGCACTGTTAAGCTAAACTGAATAACAAGATGTCAGGGCCCGAGGCACTGCTCCTCTCAGTCAGGTTCCATTTAGAGCAATAAAATTCCAGTACAATAAAATAATTTGTGAAATATCTTGAATTTCTTCTTATTAGATTCGACCTGTAACTATTTCAGTTTGTTTTTCTGGCCTAGATTTTTTATTTTTAGAGGAAACTTGAATACTGAGGAAAGCTTTTAATTTCAGATACTAGCAATTATCCAACTCCCATTTGTATCAGTTTGCCAAGGCTTCTATAACAAAATACTACAGACTGGGTGGTTTCAACAACAGAAATTTATTTTCTCACGTTTCTGGAGGCTAGAAGTCCAAGATCAAGGAGTCAGCACGGTCGGTTGCTTTTGAGGCCCTCTCTGGCTTGGAGATGGCAGTCTTCTCTCTGTCTTCACGTGATCTTTCCTCCATGTGGGTCTGGGTTCTAATCTCCTCTTTTTAAAGACCTGAGTCATACTGGATGAGGTAGGCCACACCCATAAGACCTCATTTTACCTGAAACACCTCTTCAAAGGCCCTATTTCTAAATACAGGCCCATTCTAAGTTACTGGGGTTAGAACTACAACGTAAGAATTTGGCAGAGGGGATACAATTCAGTCCATAATATTTAAATATTAGTAAAGGACCTTTGAGATCTGGCGTTTAAATGAGATCACCACTGTGTGTTTTTATTATAGTTTCTTTTCATTTCAGTATCAAGGTCCAGTTCTTCCTAGGGTATCTCCAGGTTGCCAGTAAGGTCACTAGATGTCTATATCGTGAGCTAATAGAGATACAGAGGTTTAAAAAAAAAAATCAAAGTAGCTATATGTTACCAACAGAAAAGAACAACAAAACTTCTAGATTTCTAGTCCCTTCTATGAAGTTGTAATTTGAAGATGCAGCCCACCAAAGCATGTCAGAGGCAAAACAGCTCTGTTTAAGATTTCTTAGGAACTGTTATTTATTAACTTGACAGTTTCAGGCAAACTATCTGCCTCCCCAAGAGTTATTTCCTTATATGTAAAATGGGGATAATAGCACCACCTTAGGGGACTTAACTGAGATCTTGAATACTTATTCCTGGCAATAGTAAGCACACAATGGATATGAGCTGGTATTAAGGCACAGGAAAGACAAGTCGTGTTTCTGAGTGCTTCCAGTGTGCCTTGCAGTACCTTGCAAGGTGCATGAAATTCATTAACTCATCCAGATTAATGTCAGAGAAGATAGGATATATCTAAGTCACAGCAATCTCTCTCCCCCTTGACAACCCTGCTTCTGACCCCCAGCAGCATTTGAAGAGTTGCCAGAGAAACTGAAGCTCCAGATGGAGCACTGGAAGAGAGATTGCCATCCTGACCAAACCAACACTCTCAGAACACGTCCCATTGCTGATTAGCCAGCAAGAACTACTTGGATGTGAAAAGGAAGCATCGCCATCATCATTTACACAAAGTTCTTCTTGATTGCAATAGCATTTTTAATCTGGTAGACACAGCTCTTGGATGACTATTTTCTAGAGGATTATTTTATCCTAGTGCCTTTCCACTCATGAAAGATGGAAATGATAAAACATAATTACAATGAAAATGCATTGGTAATTTTAGGATTAATTGTACTGTTGGTGAAGGAATTTTTGTAAGAGATTAATTGGTATCCCTGGCTAAAAGACCTCTAACTTCAAAATGTTAGCTCTTTTAAGTGCACAACACACAATTTAAAAAAAGAGTGCAGCATCTCCTTGCTGGTCCTGTGATGCTGTGAGGTAAGCCTGCCTCCATCAAGTGATCTCTGGAGATGTACTTTGGATGTGTCACAAGAGGCTGGATCTCAGCTCATCAGCTAGAGGGAAAGTTATCTTTGGAAGAGTTTTGCATCTGTTCTATTCCCAGAACTCTGCATGCAGTGTGAGCCACCATGTCCATAGGGGCTTGTATATTTCCACTCTTTTTCACACCATCATGAACCATATAGCCTAAAAGCACATCACATTTATAGGCTCTCCAAGAGCTTGGAGCTTCTTTAAAAATAGGCTTATTTAAAATATCATAAAATGGTTTAATTATCTTTATTTTGATTTCCAATTTCTCAATACTATACAGATTTCTCAATCTCCGTGTATTCGGTGAGATAGGCTAAGTGCTATAACAAATAGAGCCTCAAAATGTGTAATGGCTCAAATAAAATTAAAGTTTATTTCTCTCTCAGCAAAAGAGTCCAGATAGTTCCAGGCAGGTTTATGTGTAGGAGTGGGGCCAGGGGGGTCATTCAGGGTCCTAGGATGATTAGACTGTACCTTCCTCAGTTTTGGGTTCCAAGAACTCTCTAGATGTTGATATCCAGCTGAGGGAATGAGGAAAGACCCAGCCTTTCCATGGGTTTTCCATGGGCCAGCCCTGGAAGCTGGCCACGTCACTGTTGACCACATTTCACTGGTTAGAAGTCACATGGCCACATGCCTAATTTCAGGGAGGCTGAGAAATATAGTCAAGCTGTGTGCCAGGAAGAAGAGAAATTGAGTTGGACGAACACTTACCTAGTCTCTACCACATTCCCCTATCTCCTAAGTCTTCCTGGGGAAAAAACTAAGCCCTAAATTCATATTTTTCCTTCTATAAATTAGCAAAAGTGGGAAGTATATGAAAGCCTAAATTTATAATCTGTGTGATGCATAAAAGGACGTCTAGTCCTGTGGAGTTGGTTTCCTGGGACAAATAACAGCAAGAAATGTCATTTATTGGTGAAATGCAACCAATACTTTGGGAACTTTTAATTTAAATGTACAGTGAAATGATTTTTATCCCATTTTATTTCATCATGAATGAAGGGAACTAACAATGATGATACTTAGACATGTAAATATTTTAACCCATAACCTCCTTTCTCCCATCACCAAAAGTAAACAGGACACAGTTAGCAAATCAAATTATAAAGAAATGAAAAGAGAAGATTTGGTGCCTATCTCGGTTGAGTCAGTACAAAGGTAGTAAACTCTCTGTAGCTTGTCGGTGTCTCTGATCCTTCTGATGTATTGAGGCAGGGAAAGAATTGGGTGTATGTAGTATTAATAGACAAGAAAAGAAAAGTAAAAAAAAGAAATCATTTCCCTCCTCTCTTGCTTTACCCCTGCACAGGGCCTATCTTCAGAATTTACAGTATTGGGAGTATTTCTTTGGAACCAATAAAGTGCATGTAGATGCCAACACAAGACTCAGACCAGGTAACAGGAACCCACTGGAACCTTCCAAAAAGGGAAGTTATATAGGAGTGCAGCAGGAGCTATGTGTCCATTAATCTAGGGAATGCCTACTTACTGCAGAGCTGTCACATCGGTATAGATAAAGGGAATGAAAGTGAGGTGAGGAGGAGTCTCATTCATTACATCTAGTACAGGGCCAAGCCTAGGCCATGAGTTTAGACAGTTCTCCAGTGATTCTGATGAGCACCAAGGTTGAAAATCACTGATCTCATAAGATAAACACCCATTTCTAAATGATGCGGGGGGTCGTTCAGCTGTAACACGAAGCTGAGACTGATCAGACGGCTAAAATGATATTTAGGTCATGATGAAAATCTAGTTCAACAAAGCGTCTCTTTGTGAAATGCGATATGGTTATGACGGATGTTTTTCAATCATGCATTTTAATTAAATTGGCTATAGAGGAGCAGCTAAATTGCTGTTTGGGGTCAAAAACAAATGTAAGATTGACATTTAGGCAAATCATTCTCAGACACAAAATGTGGCAAAAAAAAGGAAAGCAAGCAACTATTTAGCATCGCCTAGATAGATAGATAGATACATCTTTTAGCTGCTTGGAGCAAAATTCTTTGTCTATATTGCCATTTCATCTGGACTGTTGGTGTATTTGTTGAATGCTGAAGGGGGGATCATGTGCAAGTCATTCTTCCCTGGTGAGAGTGACTGCACTCCTTTCCTTTTATCCATCCCTATTTATTGAAACTGACAGGCAACAATGAATTACATAACCATAGTGGAATTCACATATTAGTGAGAACATATTATTATAAATTAGCCACACTTAAAAAATTTAAACACCTTTAAGTCCAAGACACTACTTAACTTGAAAACATTACTTAAAAATTTAACTTACATTTCCTGTTTTAACAGCTGAGTTTGAGTACTTTCCGTAAATATTGCCTTTTTATATTTCCCTTTCTTAATTGCACTTTTCTCTCAGATATTTTATTACTGGTTTAAATTCTGAACTGTTTTCAACTGACAAACAAAATAAAGGCTTGTTTAATTCAGTTGGGTCAGGCTCCTAAGTTTTTCCAGTTGTAAACTTGATTATCATATTTCTAAACTATCTCCTATATATTTCACGCTATGACTACAAAGTTATGTACTGAAAAGTTTTTATAAATGTTCCATTGAGAGTTTATTAATTAAGAGGTGGGTATCTATTTAGAGAAATGTATGAAAGTAAAATTGAAAACATAGCTTGTTTTTCTTCAATTGATTTTGCTGTAATTCAACACAATTATATATCACAAAACCAACACACATCAACAAAAGCCTATAATGAAGTAAATCATATTCAGAGATCAGTTTAGAGTTTAAAAGAGGTCCCACATTTACCTGCCCTCCATACGCATATGTTTGCCATAGAAATGGATTATACAAATGCTCCAAGAAGGAAGCTTACTCCATCTTTCCACCTAAGATCCTGTTCACGTTGCTGAAATAAATGCAAAGGACTGAGATGAGAAAGTATGGTCCTGCTCGCAGGCCATTGAGTCTGGTTAGGTTCCTGGTAAGTCACTGGAAGCTTGAACCCCTTTCCAAATCTCCACTGATTTGTGTCTTGTTCCTTTCCTACAGGTGGGCTTGTATTTTTAAGTATAGTCTTGGCATTCATGAATGTGAAACAGTAGAAAAACGATGAAAAGGTCATAATAACAGCAGAAGGAAATTCAACAGAGAGAAATTACTACTTGGAGATTCTAAAGAAAGCAGAACACTATTTGAAGGTCTAACTTGCCAATAATTCTCAGTGGCCCAGTCAAATTCTATCACCTCTGAATTTGATTCTTTGGAGAAAGAAAACTCAGCCTAACATGTCCTCCAAGTGGAAGTTTGCTGGGATGTGATTAGGATTCAAAATAAAGTTCTGGTGTTTGTAGTGCAGTATGTTTGCCCTACTTGTTCATGGCAAAAGTGAAACTTCTGGGTTCTTACTGTTAAAAGCACCTTGAAAAATGAGAACCCCAGAATCATCTCCAGCACCTCCCCCACTTGCTTGCATCCTGCTCTCTTTATCAGCACAACCATTGTCCTTTCCCTCCACTAGGAGGGAAATCAAAGACAGTGTAAGGCTTGAGTGATAGGACTCTCACAGTGGATGCTTTTGGGAAAAATGAAGATCCTTACTTCTCCTAGTTCAAGTAAACTGTTTTACAGTAATGTGATTCGTAAATTGCCTCCAACTACAAATACCACTCTGCCCAGGCAACTTCTTTCTGGCAACTTGTCCAGGTCCCTCCAGAGTGGATCCAGTGCCTGGCTCTGTGCTTCTCCCTGTGGTTGCAGTTGTCACGCTATATTGCATTGATTGCGTCTCTCATTTGTCTTCTTCCACTAGAAATTCAGCACCAGGAAGGATCATGTTTTACCCTCCTGGAACAGATATTTGGCTCAACAGATATCGAGCCAAATGAATAAATGAACAACATGATGTCACAAAAGTTATAAAAAGTTTCAGAACTTAATTTTGTTAAGTGATCAGCTGGACTTTACTCTGGGGTAATATATTAGGGATATCTGGTATTATAAGATTTCTGATAAGGGGCAGCAGAGTTAATCTGATGAGCTTGATGAATAAAAAATTATTTCATCTAGTGGAATAAGAACGATAGCTCAGACTTCTTCTGAACTGATTAACCATCTGAGGCTCACACAATTCTGATATTATCTTCTTATCCTTATGCATATGTGAAGTGAATTTCTGTACATTGTTGCTCAAATAATATGTTTCTTTTCTTGAACGTGACATGGTAGGAAGAGAGGCAAAAAATGTCAATATATAATGTGTTTAAACAAAATATTTATATTGTTTTTCTAATTTTATAATTGTTATGCTTTAATCTTTATTTGTATTTGGAATGGAATGGTGGTTACAGGAAATTCTGGGTAGGATGAGAACTTATTTGTCTTAGTAATGAAAGATAAGAATTATAGGCTCATTTTGTATATTTTTATTATTCTCATGGAAAGTGAGAAATAGATGTACTGGAAGCATCTTTTGTTTACCTAGGCCTATTCATAAATGGAGCTTTCTCAAAATAAGTGCTACATCATAGCTGTAACTGTGAATGTTTACACAATTATCTCTGCTTTGTGTGGCGTATAAGCACATGCACCCGACTGTATATTACCAAGTCTGTGATTCTGAATATAAAATCTCTTTCTCAGGTTCTCCCTTCTTTGCATTTCCACTGCTTCTGATTTATACAACCTTTCAAAATACAGATTTTTAGATTAAGAAAAAAATGCTCGCACATTGTAAAAATGAAAATCATACAGAAATATTTAAAAAGATCTCTTCACACTTCACCAACTATGCTTTACTATCCAATATGGCTCAATGGGCACATGACCTGGGCAGTCTTGTGGGGCCCTGTGCTTTGAGGGTCCTGCGCTTGGTGTATTGGTTTGATACTGCCTTGAAACTTAATACTTTTTGAACACAAGGGCCTGCATTTTTTACTTTACATTCTACTGCCTCCTTCGCCCCATCCCCTATGTAATCATTCTTAACTGGTTGTTACTTCCAGAAATTTTCTGTATCTGTAAGCATGTTTGTACATATGCATGCATTGGTTTTTACATCAGTGGGATTATTCTATACATAGTCTATACTTGCTTTCCCTCTTCAATGTTGTATGTTGGGATTTTCCCATTAAACAGCCTTCCTGGTATCCATTTCTTCCTTTCCCTAGGCAGTCTCCATATTGCTGTGGAATGATCTAATTCTGGTTGTGCCAATTCTCTGCTAAAAATGGACAATGCTTCTCTGTAGCTTATAGAATAACTGGCCATCCTGGTAAATCAGATTCTGCAAGGCCATTGGCAGTGTGCTGACAAATTTGAGTTTCTGAGTATGCAGGTCTTGAGGACGCCTCTGGACTACAACAGTCACAAAGATAAGCCTCTGTTGTGAAGCCAGCTAGCTGAGGGCTCTTCAGCTGAACATGGACTTTTTATTTATTTATTTATTTATTTATATTTTATTTTATTTTTTTGAGACAGAGTCTTTCTTTGTTGCCCAGGATAGAGTGAGTGCCATGGCGTCAGCCTAGTTCACAGCAACCTCAAACTCCTGGGCTCAAGCAATCCTACTGCCTCAGCCTCCTGAGTAGCTGGGACTACAGGCATGCCCGGCTAATTTTTTTCTATATATATTAGTTGGCCAATTAATTTATTTCTATTTATAGTAGAGACAGGGTCTCGCTCTTGCTTAGGCTGATTTCGAACTCCTGACCTCGAGCAATCCACCCACCTCGGCCTCCCAGAGTGCTAGGATTACAGGCATGAGCCACTGCGCCCGGTCTGAACACGGACCTTTATTTTCAGACTTTGAAATATTCTCTCTCTCTCTCTCTCTCATTAACAGGTAGGAAAAGTATCTTCCTTTTTTTTAACCATTACTTAGTAGAATTGCTAATAATCAGCCTTGAAGTTAGTAAAGACAATGTTATGGAAATGAAATGTTTATGTCCCTTCAAATTCATATGTTGAAACCCTAATCCCCAATGTGAATGTGATGTTATTATAGGAGGTGGGGCCTTTGGGAGGTTCATTATGTTTGGATAAGGTCATGAGGGTGGAGCCCCCATGACAGGATTAGTGTCCTTAAAAGAAGAGGAAGAGACTATAAATCTCTTCCGTTCCCTCTGCCATGTGACAGCACAGCAAGAAGGCAGCCAACAGAAACCAGGAAGAGGGCCCTTGCCAGAACCCAACCATGCTGGCACCCCAATCTTGAACTCCCCAGCCTCCAGAACTGTGAGAAATGTCTGTTGTTGAAGCCACCCAGTCTACTATTTTATTATAGTAGCCACAGCTAAGACATACAGAGAAGAAGGTCTTTCTCTTTCTGCAAAATTGATTAATCTACTGCAGAGGGTTTGATCATATTCTTATTTTACAAATGAAGAAAATGAGCCTGAGAAATAAGACATTCATGTCCAAAGCCATGGAAATTAGTGATGAACTTAAATGAGTATCTATTGCTTTTCGGGTTAATAGACTGTGACATCTTCTTGGAATTTTCCTGAACACTCTGAATCCAGAGGTCAAAAGGATATTCTGAGTTTAGAGAAGTTTGGCTGTTATGGCAACAATTATTGTCATTGCTCCCAGTGTAACATTTCCAGGATACAGAAGTTGGATTGTCCAAGTTGGTGGTTAAAGGTGCCAGAGTAGTAGCCACTCCCACACACATATGATCACCAGTGAATTATTCAATCTCTCTGAGCTTTATTTTCTTAAGTAGAAAACAGATAAAATAATATCTACCTCAGCTGTGACTAGGAAAGACAAGATTTTAATTTGTTCCTTTACTCAGCAACTATTTGTTGACTATTATGTTTCAAAAATTGTGCTCAGCAGTGAGGTTATGGCAGTGAAATTAAACACATTCCCTGCCCTCATGAAGCTTATAGTCTGGAGGGATTTAAAGTATAAGAAAGTTAGGAGCACAGTTTCCTCACACAGAATCAATGCTCAGTTAATAATACTAATAGAAACACAAGTTTTTAAAAGATTGTTTTCTTCCTTTCCCTTTTAAAAGTAACTAATGCTGCTGCTTTATCTTTAGATATTCTCAATCATGATAATTGGAACATTTATTCTGAAATCACCTTGAAGAAGTTGTCCATCTTCCTGCCCTGTCCCCATCATCCTCCTTAAACTAGTTGCTAGTAGATAATTTGGCATATGTTCTATCTGGGGCTTTTTTTCTGTATGCATTAATAGAGCTTTGTAAAAATCAATTTCTGAAATCTTGCTTATGTGTAAGAGCTTACAAACAGTGTATAAGGAAATGTCCATTTAATAAAAAGCACTTTGAAAATCTGGTTCAGGATTACTTACTTGATGTTAACCAAGCATCTCAGTCTATGTGCCCATTTCGCATGTCCGAGAGTTCTGCAGGACTCTACCTAGCCAGAGCATGCCTAGCAAGAAGACACTGCATGTCCAAGAAATCAGCTTAGAAGCCTCACTAAAGGAAAAGTCAGCCTAGTGAGGTCCACGTGAGACCTGCCCAGGAATGTGAAAGAAGATCAGCAAGGTTAGTGTGTAAAAACAATGCCATGCACTTGGTAAGTTCTAGAAGTGAGTCTTGCATGCAGGATCATTTGATTTCTTGTGCTGAGCTACAGATGTCTGTTTTAACAGCCTGCCAGAGCTGCAGTGGACAAGGCCAGCTGCTCTCAACTGCCAACTGTCAGTTGACGTGGCAAGTTCCTACCAATTTATGCTGAAAAATAGCATGGAATCGGGTCAGCAAAGGACATTATTTTAATATCCTCCATCTGTCAAATAGACTTATTTGGAGAAAATTGAATGTTTGGAGCGAGAATTGTTAGGGCTCTTCTATGATAACATCTGCACATGATTCAAAAAACCCAATTGTATTCAGTTAGTTATCCTCCACAGAGTGAGAGAGCAGGAATTGGTCTAGTAGATTCAACTGTGTGACTTTTAGTGCTGCAGGTGGCATAAAGTAAAGGCTTCCCCACTGGATCCAGAACTTACCTTCCTTCCTCCCAAGCACTGCTGCAGTTGAGGCTTAGTTAGGACATCGTATTGGCAGTTGTGGGGCTGCCAAGTTATTTCTCTCCAGTCACAGGTCCTGTTGTCTGAACAACTAAGGCATGGCACAATCCACTGGCCTGGAATAGATGGCAAAACTTCCTTTGGTTCAGTTTCTACCAGTGAAATTATAGTTTGCAAGTAACTTTAGAATTCAGCTATGTCACGCCATTACAGAAATTACAGTAAGAAGACCATTCTTACTATAGAAATCCAATGGAGCAATGCATGGCCTCCTGCCAATCAAATAGAATGGCAACACGAAGTAATGTTCTGAAATAATACATTTCATGCTGAAATCAAATATGAGCTCTATTCCATGAAACTATATATTTATTTTTAAAAACCCTAAGTGATCAGGTACTACTCAATCATTACTTATTTTCAAACAGTACATTATGTACTTCAATAGGGCCAAAGTAGATTGGGAGTTCCCAAAATTCACAGTTTGCCTCAAATATTTATTAGGCTAACGCATACATAGGCTATCAATCCAATAATAAGTATATTCATTGCTCTCAAGAGATTTAAGATACAAGTACTTTAACATACTGATAATTAATAATTTGGAAGACCAGTTATTTCTCCTTAATTTGATTTATGGCCTTTTGGGTATGAATCTTTTCACCTCTTTCTAGTTGTGTCACCTCAATTTCTTCTTCCATTTAGATAACATATGTACTGTACTACATGACTGAGGATGTAATGGAATAATGTATTTAAAAAACCTAGCACAGTCACAATATTGTATTCACCTTTTGTTACTAACAGAGTTCAAGCAGAAGGTCTGTCATAAGCATTAGTAAATGTTTATAATATAAATGAGTATTCTCTGTACATTTAAGATATTTCCTATTTTATTGATAAAATAACACATTCAAAATTCTTCTGCTTTTAGTGTGAGTGGATCCATTAACAATTTATTAGAAAACCATCAAGAAATAAGTCTATGTTGTTTCCTTGTTCATCTTTTCAGAAATGGCATGTGAACATAACACACTATAGAAACAAATATGGAGTGGTTATTTCTCTCCTTGGTGGAGAATACGATGATGTCTCTGATCATCACTTTCCCTACTCTAAATAAATATCTTTCTTATGTTACTAGTATATGTTTCCCCTTCAAAATATTGAGAAATTAAATATTTCCAGATATTTCTTTAGTTAGAAAGATGAAATCTTAAGAACTGTATCCATTGTGGCTCTGCATTGTTGTGCTGCCAACAAAGGTATCTGGTGAGATATGAATTTTAGTGGAAAGAATTTCTACTTTCAGGTGCATTTTACAGCATTTACAGCATTTTAGTGCATTTTACAGCCCTGACTTCAGGAATGTCAGAATTGTGTATGTGAGTATGTGTGTATAAATAATTACAAATAAATATGAAAAGGGCTATAATCTATGGCTGTTACTGATTGACCACTAAAAGGAGAAAGAAGTATGGATATATTAAGAAAGAGAAATTGGGAGAGATAAAAGAAAATAGAAAGGAAAGGAGATGAGAGAAAGGAAAAAAATGTTCAGTGGAATTACTCTAGGGGGGTAACAATGTCAACTGGAGCAGAAATACAAAATCTTCAAAAATCCCAGAAAACTTCCTTGTTCAATCTGTATCCACTAAGTACTTTCCACACAATTTCAGGAATGATGGATGAATAACACTCCATTTCTCCATATACATGTCACTCTCTGGAAGATTTTTAACTTAGTACGTTAAGTATCTACCCTGAAGTGGATATTGAGGTATTTGTGCTATTTGTGTTAAAATATCATAATAATTCTTAAAAAAAATAACTGATATTTTCATAGCTCCTCCCAGATGCTGGGGATTTTCTAAGTTCTTTAATATATCAACTTATTTAAACATCATGAAAACTCTATTATCATCTCCTTAACTGGAGCTTAGAAAGGTTAAGTAATTTGTCCAAGATCCTTCAGCTAGGAGGTGGTAGAACCAGGAGCTGAGTGGGGCAGTCAGCTCCAGAATCCATGTTCTTAACTATAATGCCAAACCTCAAAAATTTATAATCAAGTTAGAGGATTTAAATTTTTACTTGTAAAATAATTATAGCATAATAACCAGTAATGCATAAATGAGAAAATTATCTGTGTGGTACTGAAAGAACCTGGGCTTTGGAGACCACACACACCTAGGTTCTACCTTTAACGAGCCCTGTGGACCTCAACATTGACTGGATATTACAGTCACCTGGAAAACTTGTTAAATTCCCCAAGCCCAGGTTGTATCTGAGACTGATTAAATCAGAATCACTGGGGATGGGACTCAGGCATTAGTGGTTTTTAATGCTTTGCAGGTGATTCTAATATGCAGACAAGGTTGAGACCCACTGTTTAAATTGGACTAATTAATCTTTTCTTAATTAAATTTACTTCTCTATAAGAAAAATATGTGTAACACCAGCTATAGTACCTGATACTTAAGAGTTGATGTCTGTATTTTATGTATTTTCCCACCTCCACCCCAAGTAAGCCGTGGTAGTTCAGAATAAAGAGAGAGTCGTGGAGGTTAGAGTTTTCTGGAAGGTTACATGGAGCAGATAAAGTGTGAACAGGTATTTATGGATAGATAAAACTTGAAGATATGGAAGGGAAGGGATGGTACTTTAGAGATAGTGAAGAGATGAGCCTGGCAGGAATAACTGGCCTCTACTTAGACTGTATTATTAAAGAAAAAGAGCATCATCTTCCAGATGAAAGATGTTTCTAAAATTTCCAGATACAGAGAATGACAGTACTACTAAAAGAAACCACATAGAAAATTCGGGAGAGGAACTGGATTTTGAATGGCAAAATAAAGACTGTCTTCAAAAGTGCTTATTTTTCCATCCATTCTCCTTTAATAATTCCTCTGTCTTTATCATTCAGAATATAGCTTGCTTTCTAATTCTAATTCCGCCTTGGCATGCATGGTTTGTAATCAATAATCAACCTCTTTCATATCTTTTCCTGGCTTCTTCTAATACTATTTGATTTAGACACAGCCTAAAAGTTTAACCTTTGCTGATAAATTTCTCAAGAAAACCTCCTTAGAAAAGAGGTAGAGCTTCAAGCGTGACCATCCCCCAGACGGTGCCCATCTCACTCATTATGTATATATATACCCGCCCCCTCCTCAGACTTGTGGGGGCATTGGGGGCAAGGGCATTATTAGAAACATTAAAATTTGTACCCCCATAATATGCTGAAATTAATAAAAAGGAAAGAAAAGAGGTAGAGTCTTTACTTCATAGAGGTCCACATCTAGTGGGTTTATAGGACCACCTTGGGCAGAGTTAGAGGGGGCCTTTTTAGAGAAGAAGCAAATTGAGGCTCAAAGAGTTAAAATAACAGAAGTGAGGTCTCTGAGTCTCCAATTTTCTGATCTTTTTATCATGTCAGGTTAGGTCAGCACATAATCATCAGTTGACAATGAAATCCAGCCCAACTGCCTCTTTGGTAGCACTTATAGGAAAACCCACAAACTGGTCTTATAATTAATTTATCTTTATTTGAAAAATCTGAATTTACTCAGTGAGTTCATGTGTTGACAGAAACTGTGTTTAAACAAAGATTGTTAATTTTCTTTCTAATAGCACCATGGTATGTTGAGGGCATAAATGTGTTTCTGCTAATGAGATTATACTTGATAATCTTTTGAAAGGCCAAGTTTTCATCAGATCCCTAAGAATCTAAGAGCATATGCATCCCAGCCCTGCTCCAAACAACTCTCTACCCCTCAACCTTGCTGACAGCTAATTTAGCACAAACGGAGACAGACCCTTATCGACCACTTGCTGCTAAGGATGAAGAAACAAGTGGCATGCACGAAGATTCAAATATGGGTGCAATTAGTTTGTGGGCATAAAATAGCATCCACATAAAAAGGAGGCCTGATTGGGTCTTTGAAAACTTGGCTCCAATAGTTCATACTACTCTATATTTATGCAGTCATAACTCTTTGCATTTTAGTATTGGTTAACAATGCCTTTTATTTATTGTAAGTTAGTAACTGCTTGAAATAGGCATCTGTATAACATCTGCAGGGCTGGGATTCTTGACATCTTAAATAATACCAGCTCTTAACTAAAATTGTCCAAAAAAGGGACCATAAATTCTGTTATATATATGAATACTGAATGAATCAAAGCTGTGATTCCTGATATAAAGCATGACATGTTTTAGGGAATAACATTCTGAGGAATAAGAATGTCTTTTGGCAGAAGTTATTTGATTTATATTTATAGCTCTACATTTAATGAAAATTAGATTTCATCTATTTAAGTGAATCAGATTGGGTGATACAATGGAGAAAAAAAATTCAACTCTGATTTAGGACTGAAGTGATATATAAAATCGTGTAAATGTTACTACTGAGTCCTAGCTCTTTATATTATAAAGTGGTTTTTATTTAAGAAGAAAAAATACATCTATTTTTTCTTCTATATTTAAGAAGAAAAAATACATCTAGTATTGGAAGTGTTAAAGTATAAGTTGTCATATTTCCTTGATAAAAGTAATAAATTTTTTCATTATTTACATATAAAATACAATCTGAACTATCTTCCTTAACGTTAAATCTCATTCAGTGATCACTGTATAAATTTCTTCTTTCTCCAAATTAGAATAATTACTTTTTCTTTCTTAAGTAAAAGATTTATTTCTACATTGTGTCTTGTAGTTAAATTATTTCCTGAAGGATAGAAATCAATTTAAGAATTAAAAAAATACAGTCATTCAAAAGTATATTAGCTGGTGTTATCGAAAAAGACATTTTGACATCATTGCATCAACAAGGTTAAGAAAAAAGCATCCACTTTTGCCAAATAACTGTAATATGCTGTTAAAATAGGATTTTGGAACCAGTGTGTGTGGCCTGATACACTAAACCCAGAGCTCCTAAATAAACTTCCTTTTAATGTTGTCTACCATGACAACTTCTTTCAAAAGGAGAGAATCCTGCTATTAGGGAAGGAAACCATCTCTGGCAGCAAACAATACATTCTTGCAAACTGTTGTCCTGACCTCACTCAGTAACTTTGAGTCTTTGGGGCTTTAGCAGATCAAGGGTGGAGCAGTTGGTTGTGGCGATTGTGTCCTGGCCATTTACAGTCTTCTGTGAAAGGGAGGAGCGTTGGATCTTGACTTTAGTTCAGCGACCATTTTAAAATCATATATTAGACCCTGGAAAATGAGTAAGGGACAATCTCTGCTCTGGAGAAACATACAACCTAGGGAAGCCATCGTCATTAACGCATGTACACTGTAATATATGCACAGATATGCCTATATTTATATATTATGTCCATTATAAAACATAAAAATAACAATTATTAGGTAAAAAAAAATGCACATATATTTTAATCTTTTCTGGCTTCACCCTATGGATTTCCCTGTGCCGCTCCCTCCCTATCCCAGGGTACATTATTTCACTTTGGAGACCACTGATCAAAGTAAGAGAAAGAAACATATAAATAAATAAATAAATAAACATATGGTATAAATAAATAAATAAACATACGGTAAGTGCTATTGTAGAGATATGCCCAAGATGCTCTGGGAATACAGAGAAGCTAAACTGGGAATGTGGTGGTGCAGAAAGGCTTCCTGCAGAGAAAGGTACAGCATTAGGACAAGTTAGGCAAAGACAGGAAGAGGACTTGCAGGCCTAGGGAACAGTGTGGACGAAAAGCTGGGGTTTTAGAGCAGCATTATCATAGAGTGAGACAAAGAGGCTGGAAGTGGGTGGGAAAGGGAAGAAGGGGCCAGATGATAGAGGCTAAGGAGCACAGGCTTGATTTGTGAGTCAATTCTAGGGGCTTCTCTAAAGGGGCCTACCTACTCAGGTACCAGAAGACCACTGTTTTTTGGCAGCCTCTCTGGCAAGGTCCAGGCACAGAGATAGCTTTGTAACAGAGCCTGACATAAGTTAGCACACATTTAATGGACAGATCAAGCTGCTACTTCTTGAGGAATCCCAATAATGTATCTTGAACTTTTTCTTGAAGAACTTTTAACTTGGTGTGGTGGGGGGAATTGGATTGTTTTATGATTGTCATAAATTGTCATCTGATAAAAAAATTTAACATCGGTGTCTCCTTTGTATGTAAAGATATGTATCTCATTTAGCAGAGGATCACAAATCACACCACCTGACACATCATAATGGGTAAATCCCTCCCTATGCACTGGCTGTAATTTATTATTTAGAACACATGTTCAAGAACGAGGACGTGCCCACGTTTGTTAACCGTGCATGCCAAATTGCAATTTGTCCTGCCCATTTGGGAAACTCATTTTCCATTCAAGCTGTGGTGTGAAGTTCATGGCAAGGGTAGAAAAGCTCATAAGTGTTTTCTCAGATTTTTTAGATGAAGGGAAACCTGGGGTCAGGAGAACAGAGCGATAACCAGGAAGCTTGGAGAACACGCTCCTTGCTCCTCTAATTGGTCTGCAGGCATTTTTAGTCCCAGCTTTGGCTGAACTGCACTATTTCCACTTAAAGAAGGTTGCCGGGGAAGGAGAGAAACAGGGAATGAGGAGAGAGGCACCAAAGAAGTGTCTCATTCCAGGTCTGTTCAAGGTTTAGGCAGGACCTAACACTGTAATATAAATTTGATGTCACAATTTCCCTTTCTCTATTAATGGTCAATATATATGAGACATTGGTAATTATTCCCAACGATGTTTTAAAAGTAAAAAGAAATTATTAAAACTGAACTTGTATCCTTTGCAGTTCTTTTGTTCACAATGGATATTTATTTTCTATCTAGTATGTACAAATTATGGTGCCAAGTGAGTTAACATAATGAGAATAAGTCAGACTCCCTGCCCTCATGAAGCTGACATCCTGGGAAGACTGACATTAAACAATTAATTACGCACTTAATTATTTCAACAACTGTGATAACTGCTATGGAAGACAAGCAGAGTTTTATGAAACATGAAGTAAGGAAACAAATCAGAGGCTCATGGAAGGCTCTCTGGTGAGAGTGACTTTTGAGCTGAGATCTGTAGGTGAATATTGATTAACTAGGAAAAGAAGGGAGGGTGAAAAAGAAAAGAATTAAATTAATCAAAGTATTTCAAATATTGAAACAATGCATTTATATTAATTATATGAGTTGTAGTTCATAGTAATGAAAAAAGCAATGCCCTTGATTTTTTGTATAAGGGTAGTTTAAATAAGCACATATTTATCTATACTAAAGAGGTTTTTTTTTTTTTTTAGAGATGTGACACCCAATGTGATAGTCACCTTTTATGTCCCCAGATGGACAACTCTTTAGCTCAGACTGTGAAATGGCTTCAATGTAGTCAGAAGAAATAGGCTGTAATCCACAAGTTTCCTCCGGGTCAATCAGCAAACCACAATCCTGCATTAAAATAATAGATATTAGTTGTCATTAAACCAACCCATAGTAATAACATTTAAAAAATAAGACTTTCTGTGCCAAATAGCCTTTATGGATAAAGGAAACAACTACTGTTTACCTTTCTTGGACTATTGACTTATCAAGAGTTATTTGTGCTGAAAGTATTTATAACTACTTTCATTAGTAGGGTGAATTAGGGAGTTAATATAAATTCCAAAGACAATTCAATCTCTATTTTGACATTGATATTCATGTCATTGCTCTGCTAATTTTTAAAAATTTGGGTGCAAGTTTTACCTTAAAATATACCTGTGTCAACTTATAAAAAATAAAACATACTATTAATATAATAGAAGACAATATATCAAGTGGAAAAGACAGATAATGTGAGAAGGGAAATGGGAAATATTCAGGGAGAATTTAACAGATGAATTTCATTTCAACAAACATTTATTAAGAACTCCCGATATGTCAGAAATGAAATAAGATGCATGTATTTTATTCAAAACATGTTCACAAATTTATAACAGTAGACAATATCTCACTGCCCTCAATATCATTATAGAGGCATATTCTGTACTAAGCAATGCTTTCTGTAGTCTGGCAGGTGCAGCAGAGAACAGCATGTTGGCTCACTGAAACTTCCTTCCTCTGCTCCAACCACTGCTGCACCTGCAGCTTGGACCACCCTCATTTTCTCTTATTCAGCAAAGCTATTAGTACCTACCTATTCCTGTCCCTGTGTCCCTTTATCCTACCTCACCTGGTTCTATTGCCACCCTCCTCACTGGGTTCTCTTGGCCTATCACAATTTAGAGCATGTAGAAATGCTATCATCTGTGTCTAGATTGCTTTCTCCCTAATTTTGCATGGAGAATATCTTTTCGTGTTTCAGGTCTCAGCCAGGCCTTTCTGAAACTTTGGCACAATGATATATCCCTACTTTTGTCCAGTGTGTTTCCTTTACACTCTTTACCATTTGGTAATTATTTATTTGCTTGTTATTTGTCTATGCCTTTTCTGCTGGATGGAATGCTGTATGGGAGCAAATAATTATCTCACTCACACATACCCAGTGACTGCCATAAGGAGAGGATAATTTTTTTTTAAATGCATAAAAGGTTAGACTTGTTTCCCTCTCTGTATCAAAAATTCTCAACACCGAAGAGAAAAGATTGGTTTACACAACGAGTAAGATGTGCAACGTTTGAGGGATGGACATGCTTGAAGCTCTTACTCAAGGGGGGAGGGGGGCATGGGCAAGATAAGTAACCTTAACACTTGTACCCCCATAATACACTAAAATAAAAAAAAAAAAGATTGGTTTGATTTCTTTTTTGCTCTGTCACTTTGCCTCCAATCGGCAATTTCTAGTCACTTTTCCTCATTCTCTCAAATATCCTAACTACCAACTCAGATTCCCAGATTTCATACAAAAAGATCCAGGATTTTGAGAAACAAAAAGAATGGGGGTGGTGTGTGAACTTCTTGAAGTCTTGATTTGGTAGACATGTTTTCATTTTTTAATTCATTACTGAAACTGGAATGAATTAACAATTAGGAATATGATTTGTGTTTAGATGCCCATTATAATAAAACAACTAAAAATAACACAAAATTTATAATAATGTTGTGAGGAGACTTAGTACGAATAAACATCTCTGAATGATATTTGTTAGTGTATATATATATATATATATATATATATATATAGTGCGATATCTATCCATTTATTTTGGTGGAGACTGGACATTTTTTAAGGTTAGGAAAAAATGTGATTAATTTATCAGATTGCAAAAAAATGTTTATGTCAAATGTTAAAGAGTGTAAGGAGAAACAATTACCATTATATCCTGCTGATGAGAGTGCAAATTCATTCAGCCGTTTGGAGAGCAGTTTATACTATAATAAAAAATTCAGAGACCCTGTATCCATGAAACCAGACTTCTCAGGGTCTACTCTAGAAAAAACCTCAAGTAACGCATAAGAAACATGTATAAGGATAGATCTAAATGGACCACTAATACAGCTCTTCAAGACATGGTTAAGAAAAAAAGCAAAGGTTACAGAACAATTCATGCCACCTGAAACACACACGTGTGCATGTGTGCTCACTGAACCACGAACATACTGAATACTAATTTTGTGGGAAGAACTATGTCTCCATTAAGAGAATAAAAGGAAATCTGGATAATGGTTACCATGTTGGATATTCCTTTTAAATGCAAAATACGAGGTCTGTCCAAAAAGTATCCAGCCCTATAACTGTTCTCATTACATTAACCATGGCTGGATATTTTCTGGACAGACCTCATACTTATCTGCCCATAGTTCTGAATGCTCTAATACCATTTAAATTTAGGTACTTCACACTGAGATGTTGTGTTCCATTTATTACTAAAAAGGATATCTTTCAACACACACACACACACACATATATATATATATCTCCATGCACATAATGTTTACACATTTTTAAAAGTCTGGATTTAGAGATAATTTTGCCTGAAAATTCTTACTTGTTTGGGGTTTCTGTGGTATGTGTGTGTGTGTATACGACCATGTCCTTCTACTTATCTAGGGGCCATTAGAAACAGAGTCAGGAACACAGCGGCAAAGGCTTAACTGGTCTCTGTGTGTAATGGGCACATATCAATCAATCAGAAAAATGTGTTGCTACTAGTTTGCTAATGGCTTGTCCTGTGGGGAATCTGAGCAAACTCAATCACTGATGAGTGAGTGGTGGCTATTTCAGGTAGATAAGTCATGGGTGACTTCTCTGAGGAGACACTTGAACTGAAGGGTGTGAAAAATTGAGGAATGAGAAGATGAGAATTCCGAGAGGAAGGAAGAGCATGTCAAAGTCCACAAGGGAAAAGGATTTATCTGACTTCTTCAGTAAAAAAAAAAAAAGAAAGCCAGGTTTAAAAAACTGGTAATGCTGACAATCTACGCTATATTTTAATAATCAAATCACAGTATCTTTTCTGAGATTGCACCTCCGAGATTATCTCCACAAGGGGGGGGGGGAACCTGCAGCCTTAAGGCTGCATGTGGCCTTTTAGGTCCTTCAGTGTGGCCTTTTGACTGAATCCAAATTTGACAGAATAAATCCCGGTATTAAAAGGGGTGCAGCAGGGAAAGATGAGGCTTTTCTTGCCTCCTTTGGTTCTAAAAGAAGAACAATCTTGAAATCAGAAGGCTGCACGTTCCCCATCCCCATATCCTAATCTTGAACTGAAATCTGCATTCTATTGGTCCTAATTCTTTTAGGTGCTGCTTAGAATAGATTTGCTGTAATGTTACAGAAACATATTGTGCTGTGATTTCAAAGCTACTTAAATAAATGACCATCAAAAGAGCAGGATATTTTTAAATGTTCAATTTTTGTACTTTGCAAAAGCCCAAGGACCCCACATTTGAGCCTATGATTATTATAAACATACTGCAGAGCACAGAGAAGCAGAGGGTAAGTGGCCAGGCTGGGGGCCACTCCTGTTACTTAGAACCTTCACGTTGTCTTTGTGTTTGAATCATTACCTGATATGGTGCCGTTTCTGCTTTCTAATGGAGGTTTCCATTGGGTACCTGTTCTATGACGCTTGATAGGTCAGCCCTGTTGGTTCTAACTAAACAATGACTCCAGTGAATTTTAAGATAAGACAGGAATCAAAGCAATCTTGAAAGGAAAAGATCTCATTAGCATCTCTCATTTTTTCCTTCACTAGTCACCTGGTCAGGTTCAGGCATATTGCAAAATGGTGAAGGTTGGAGAGAGAGGAAGGGAAAGAATTGCATTAAGTGATCTCAAGTCCTGTGGCAAACTGCCTAGCAGGAGTCCTCAAACTTTTTAAACAGGGGGCCAGTTCACTGTCCCTCAGACCATTGGAGGGCCATTGGAGAGTGTGGCACACTCTCCACACATGTGCACTGTGGGCCTGGGATGAGTCAGCTGCTAACCAGGACAGGCAGCTGCGGCAAAAACACCTGGCAGGCCGGATAAACGTCCTCGGCGGGCCACATGTGGCCCATGGGCTGTCGTCAGGGGTCTACACAACATCCACTCTCTTTTTAAGAGAAAAACCCTTATTTTGTTGGAGGTAATAAAGTGTCCAACATTAAATAAATAATCTATTTTCTAATCTCTCTTGTAGCTAAAGGTGTTCATGGAACACAGTTCTAGCCAAAGAAATATAAGTGCATGCCAGCTATGAATTTCCAGAAGTTTTACTTCTCTGATGCCACTTTTTCTTCATCACTCTGTTTCTTCTTTCTGCTTGGAATACAAATGCGAGCCGGAAGGATGAGCAGCCATCTTGTGACCATGAGGTAACTATGAGCAGAAAAATAGAGCCTAGGACATAGATGATGCTGTGGAGCCGTAGTGCAACTTTGGGCTGCCTCCTTCTACACTGTTTAATATGGAAACAAAACAAACTTCTGCTTGATCAAGCCACTGTAGAAAGACTAGATGCAGCCAAACTTCTCTCTTCCTGTTAAGAGTTTATGAAACCTATTCTTTTCAGGCCACACGAATCTTTTTGAGTATTCTTTTAGATCTTAAAAGTGATTCATCCCACTAATAAAAATTTTTTAAAACAATCTTTAAAGGAAAAAAATCATTAGCATCTCTCATTTTTTCACTAGGATGAGTAGTCACTTGGTCAGGTTCAGGCATATTAGAAAAAAATGAATAACAACTCCCTTGGTCGTCAGTGTCATCTCCTGGAGCCACTGAGTCTGTATACACAGAAAAGGTAGTATTTAGTGGATTTGCTTAAAACGGCATTAGCCTCTGAAATCTCCACACTTAAAGTGTATGTTTTGCTGGAGACTTCACAAGGGAGCCCCAAATTACTGAGTAGATTGTCATGGCTCTCAGCAGAGTGCAGTAAGATAATTAACTGTGATTTTCTGGTTCAAACTTGTGCAAAGTAAATATGTTTAGTACATAATTTTAAAAATTTACTTAACTTTTCATGACGTGCTCTAGTGATTAA